CTTAAAAGGTTTAAATTCTTAGATTACGTTTCAGCGGAACGAGGTTTTCTAGGGTCTCGTTCCGTTCCGGACCATTCCAGTGTAGGAATTCGTTCCGTCCGGAACGGTCCATCTCTAGTGGAGAGACTATATTAGACATAAATTATACCTTTATATACTCAGGAGTAGCAAACCAAACAAGAGCTAAGAGGAGTTTGTATTATCTTGAAAGATAGTATTTACTAAAAAATTGAAAAACGGCTAGTTTCTTCTCGAATGATTACTGTTGATGTAAGCAGGATCATTCTAATAGAAGTGTATGCACCTACAGAGGATATTTATTTGACAAAGAACAATTTTATGTTGAACTGGAAAGAGAAACCAGTAGAAATCAGAGAAACCAGGGACACAGGGAGAGAGAGAAGAAATACTAATGGGAGACCTAAATGCTAGGATCAGAAGAGATAATCGAGGATCCTATATCGTGAACTTTATGGATGTGAAGCAACTAAAAATAGAAATGGACAGAGATTTACTGAGTTCTGTATGGACTCCTAGACTAGTGGAGTGAAAAAGTTATATGTGAAGTAGGGAACAAAAATAAATCTTAGAAAGAATAGATGGCAAATAAATCTAAGTAAAATTGGTCCATCTACGAGTATGTTCATACAAGAAATATCTCAAAACACGCTGTTAGAGAGTCTAGGAGAATTTTTTGAGAATAATTTGGAAGGAAAATAGACTAGGATTATAAAGATAAGATTAAAAATTTTAGAGAAAAGTTATAGGCTTTAGAGGAAAATGAGTTGAAAGCATAAAGGGGACCCTACACGGTCAATCGGAATTGCACTAATGACGTTCCGAATTCTCGTGTAAGGTAGTGAATGAAGTGCTGATGGTGGTGCGCTGCGGATTTCCGAACATCCGGAAATCAAAGGTTCATTCACGAGAAGTGGAGGGGGGCTGATGTAAAAGTAGTGGGGAGACTAACCATACTGCTGTAAGGTCAGTAAAACTACCAGGTTCGTTCACTCAGAAATGCGTGGTGGGGGAACTTGAAACGTGACGTAAGGAATAGACTGCGAGACCTACCTATTACTCTTTCAAGCCTATCAATGAAGGCTTATTTCAATATTATTGTGCTTTTTTTTTTGTTTTCTAGTTTAATTTAATGAGAAGAATACTTTTCTGTGTTTTTGACGTTTGATTGAAGATAATTTCAAGCAGATAAATAAAAAAATACGGCTATCAATCTAGAATAAAATGCTATGAAGATTACAGATAATGCTATAAAGACCTGAAACGAAAAGAACGAAATTAATATTAAGATTATTTTTAAATTCTTTATTTCAAAATCTCTGTAAATAATATACAAATATATTACATAAATAGAAAAAACTAAGATTTATATATATTTAGAGAACATTTTAGCACAATGTTTGTGTAATTTTGTTTGTAGATTTCCTGGGTATTTCTTTTAATGATATTATAATAATATTATAAGGGTGAAGATCATTGTGAGGATCTGCAGTCAAAATTTCTTTAAATAAATAAATTTAATTTAAAAAATAAACAAATTTTACTGCAAATCCTGATAATTTATTTTCACCTTATAATCTTAACAGTCAACTACTAATCCGTCTCTAAAATAATATTATAACGAGTATTTTTTTTGTTACTTTTAATAACATGTTACAGTGAATTCGTTTGTTCTTATACGTATTTCTCATAATAACATAATTATTAATAGAATCCTATTGAATGCCAGGTAAAAAATGCGCAGTTCCATCTTGCAACAATAATCTAATTGACACAAAGAAGATGGGAAAGAAAATTTCATTTCATACTTTTCCAAAGGACGCTCGATGAAAAGATTGGATTTTAAAATGTAATTATATTGTAAAAAAATTTACTATATTTTCTTAGGAAAAAAATGTATAAATTAATGAAGAAAGCCTTTCTTTCAGCAAAGGGTTTTTAATAGAATCAAAATTTTAAATACCCAATGATTTTTACAACAATTAAGAAAACATAAAATCAAAGCCAAAAAAATTGAGAAAAATCACTACATAGGATTACTTATGACATAAAAATGTAGTATTTACAAAAATTCACGGAAAGAAAACATTTCTTTAATGTTAGATTAAATACTTTTTCTTTTTTTTTCAATAGTTCTAGTATTTTATATTATTCCCTGTATTTATTTGAAATATTTCAAAAGTAGTATTGTGCTACTTTGCAAAAAATCATACTTGTTAAATTACATTTTATTTGCTTCGGAATACACCAAATATAAAATCAACCTTTCTCTCACCTTTCAAATTTATTAAAATTAATAAGTTATTTGGCAATACAGTATTGATTTAATGCATAAAAGTAAATAATAATCTTAAAATGTCCAGAAACAAAGGCCGGAGGGGTAAATTCAGTCTTTTGGCTACGTCAGAGCTCAATTCCTCGCGGCCATTTTCCCTCTGAGTGAGCGAACCTGGTAGTTTTACTGACCTTGCTTTCTTTCTTCCTTCCCTTACAACAAAATTTTATTGCTCTTCTTTTTTTAACAACAGTGCAAGTGAAAGGAGAATTAAAAGAAATGTATATCATATCCAATTACACTTTCTGTGGCCTCCTCCATGTTTTTCTCTAGTCTCCAGGTTATAAGTTTTCATTCAGAAAATTCAACCCCATCGAAATGTGATCACTTAAAAATTCTAATGACGCAGCTTGGGCTATGAAACCCACTTCTAGGCACCTGTGTACCTATCCACAAGAAAGTGTGGCAATTACAAATTAATTTCTCTCCCAGTCGTATTTTATTAAAGAAGCTAAGACCATTAGTTGAGGACAGTCTGGAAGATGAGCAATCAAATTTTCGTCCTGGATGTCAAATTCAAGACCATATCCTTCGCTTTAAGAATGATCAAACAAAATAAAAGGTTATGTCTTGCTTTTCTGAATATTGAGCCTGATCGGCCACCAAAAGCGGAGCTTAGAGTGAAGCCAGAGGAGGGGATGTGAGACCAATGGATTGCATAGTGGAATTATGAGCTCAGTCAGCAACTTGTCTTGCATCCATATCCTTACCATATAATATTTTTTTTTAAAGTATTAAGTTGGTCATGTGGGAGTTGAAAAGAAAACTCTAATGATTCAGACATCGAATTTACTAATACACCATGTTTTTCCAATGCACATTTAACACTAAACCAAAATAAAATAATTTGAGAGACTCTACTATGAGAACAAATGAAAAGAAAGGATGACAGAGGAACAAAGCCACAAGGTTATGAGTAGATGCAGTGGGGAAGCGGATTGGAGCATCAATAACCAAACTTGGAAAGCCAAAACGGAGCTCATCTTTGTGACGCTGCATAACAAGCCCGGATGTGGTAGCCACCCTTTCAATAAAAACTTTTGATTCTGTTTTGGAAGCTCAGCTTCGTTTTTGGTGGTGTTTGACCCAATACTAAGAGAAGAAATACAGGAAGTCCTGAGAGCAAAGAGGTGCAGAATGATTTGCAATACGCAATACTATCATTATACGATGAATCAAAAAAACAATTGAGTATTATTCCTCTACTATTAATCATCTTTATTGATGAAATAATAAAATTTTTGAGAACAGCAAGAGCACTGTTTAGTCATTGCCACAAGTAATGGTATTTGCTGATGACATAATCCTCCAGCAATCCCCAGTAGAGAAGGGCATGTTTATCAATTTCAAAAAAAGCAAAATCCTTTAAGCAGGACCAGATTCCTAACAATTCCATATAATGTGTGATGCGAGGAGATTTAAGGCACAAATCAGTTTTCCTACATTGGAACTGTAACCAGCAGAAATGGAAAAGTCCAACCAGAAATATCCCACAGGATAAGAAAAGCTAACAATATATACTATTCTACTAGTAACAAAATTATAGAAAAGAGAGAGAGAGATAAAAAAATATACCAATCTCCACATTTTCAAGCCTGTTCTGCTGTATCGAGCAGAATAACTGCAGCAGAAATGAAACCATCAGAGAAGAACTAATGAAGGAGACCCTGGAAAAGACAGGATGAGATGAGAATGGACATATGAGCAGAATGAGCCCTGATTATGACCTACACAAATTTATGGAGGGGAGACCAATAGGTGAGGTGCATTAGATATAATAGCTATATTTCCGAATTGGGACAAGAGGACAGATATTGCAGATAAAGAATTTTTTGAGAAACATAGCTAGATGGAGATCCTCTAGATTGGATTAAGTTAATGCTGAAAGGCACAAGAAGAAAGTTAAAGATGAGAAAACTATATTGGCATACTTTTTTTTTATAAAACACTGGGATGTTAGAACTGAAGATCTTAAAAAGGTTGAACCTTGTAAAGCAACAGGAAGAACATAAAATTTATATAAAGAAGTTGTACCATTAAGCAGCTTTGAGCAATTAGAATAATTTGCCTATAACAAAGTGAAATCAATAAATAATAGTAGCTAACCAAATGTGACATTTTCAATATTCATATATATCATTAATTACTAATATTCAATATTAGTAATTAACATAATATGAAGGTTTTATGTTTTTCCCCAAAAGTAATAATACCTTTAATCAATTACACATTTTAACAAAATAATGTACTATCTTTCACTCCACAAATGATTTATATGAAAACACTGGGTAAACCAGCAAAATTTAAATATAAAATCAGATCACTCTATATGGTTATATTATGAATTATAGGACCTATTTAACAAGATTTTATTTACTCATGATCTCATATTTTCTTTACCTTGAAATGGGGCTTCAATCTAAAAAACATATGTTAGAATAACATACATTGAGGAAAAAAAATATCTTAAGTGGTGTTTTGGAGAATTTTAGAATACAAACTTTGAAGAAAATAAATAAATCTCTTGTTTTGAGATTGTCATTTACTTATGTATAGACTTGTCCAACAAAATACTATCTAATGATATAGAGAAAAATAATCTATAAGGCTTAGGCTAGATTTTATAACTTAAAAGATACAGGTTAAATGAAATAAAAAAGAAACAATTTTATTTGCTTTTCTTGTGTTTTTGTTTTTAAAATACAAACATAATGCTTCCTTAAAAATTAAGTATCTTAACATAGAATTGTGAAGAATTGGCATTTTTGTCATAGGCCGTGACAAATCAGCAATTTGAGATCTGTTCAATGGATCATGGAAACATTGCCAATTATTTTGGGAATGTCATTAAGTAAAAATGGACTTAAATATTATAAACTTCCACCATTTTGCTTTAAAAAACCTTAACCAAGAAATAAAATCTTTCAATACACTCTTTTTAAGTGTACATTCACATTTAAATAAAGTAGTGATTCTTATTTTGTTGAGGTTTAAATATTTGGTTTTATAAAATTAAATTTGTTTCTGATGGTTTCAAGGATAAGATTAACAGATTTAAGGAATAATAATTGCAATTACCAACTGTCATGTTGGAACTAGCAACAGTCTTATGATATAAATGTAGCTTAAGAAATTATTAATCAAACTTTCAGTAGGCAGAGTGCAAGTTACTTGACTGAATTCATACCACACCACATTTTGACAAAAACATCATTGTAATAAATGAGAATGAAAATGTAACGTTTTATTTTCTCAAAATATACTCCAAGAACCATCAACTTATAAAATAGTTTAAGAAAATCAATCAACTACTTAAGCATAAATAATTAAATTACAAAAACATGATGAAAAGGTGGAAATTAGACTAGATCCTAATCAGAAAACATAATGTAACAATGTTGGCAGTGCAAAAATCATTTAATTTTTAAAAGTTAAACATTAAAAGTAGATATGGTTGCCTCACAAATAATCTCACCAAATGTCAAACAAAGACACTGAGGAATAGAACTAATGGCTCTTTTTTAGTGCTTTGAAAAGTTTTATCTATACAAGAGATTAACCGAGGTTCCAATATGGACAGTCCTTTAAATAATTAATCACGTTTTCATTACTGAAAACTCTTAAATAGATTTACAAAAACTGAATTTAAAAAAATAAAAAATAAAATTCACCTTCATTAAACCAGGATTGGATGATTGAGTTGAAACATTACCTAAGCACATATTCCCCTCAGAAAAACATAATATGGATAAAAAAAGATATCTATTATTAGAAGTTTATTACATAATTAGGACCCAAAAATAATTAAATTATTATGGAATGCAGACAACTAATATTTTAGTTTGACTATAATCCACACCAGAACTTAACGTCAAAGTAAGCAAACAATGAAAATCCTGCAAATCACAAAATAAACGACTACTATAGGATACTAAAGAAATAAAAAAATCTAAAGTACAATTTCAATAATTTAAAAATAAAAACAGTGCAAGAAATTAAGGAATAGCACTTATTTATTAATTTAATATGTGCTAATATAAAAAATATAAGAAATTAATACATAAGTATGTAACGAATCATGATCAATGTAAATTAACCTAATATAATAAGCCGTTAACAGAGTTATATTATCAATAATAGTACATAGGATTTCAGACTAATTGTATTGAAACAATAATGGAAAAATCAGTCTTACTTGAGACAACCCGCTTGAAATATATAAACATGTATTGAGTGGTTAAGAGGATCTCATTCCGTTATAATAAGAAACATGAAATTATATAAATCCAAAATAGTTGAATAATGAGAGCTCACATTTCAGATTTTTCTTTTCTTTTTATCATTTCCTTAATCAATATGATAATTCAAGTAATAATCGTTTCTAGAATACTCAACATCTTTTATTATAACAGAACGGGGTAAAGACTCCATCTGTTTACCATTAACCTCGTACATTAATATAAGACATAATGAAGGGACATCACTATTTATAAGTTAAAAAAAAATCATAATAAAAAAAAGAGAAAAATAGTCTAAATTAAGGGGTGAAAACTGGAATCTGCTCAATTTTCTCTTTCTCTTCTTCAGAAGTATCCCTTGCTATCATCAAAGTATGAGCTTGGCCCATTGAAACTTGATCAACATAGATACCGTCTAAAGCCTTAACCTCCATTGGCACCGATGTTGATTTACGCATTTCACCATGACCCTAATAAAAAATATGAGAGAATTAATATAATACATTAACATGTGTTGCTCTGCTGGAGAATGTGGTTATTATTAGAATGTTTTTATAATTGCTTACCAATTCACCAAAGCATGGTGATGCACCAAATGATATAACTGAATTATCAGCAGCAATTACAACAGATGAAAATCCTGCACCAAGAGAACGTATGGTCCAACCAGACAAGTCTTGTAATGGCTTAGGGTACATGTTAACTTCTCCAGTATTTTTGGTTTTACCAAACAGATACGCCATTTCTAAAATTAATTTATTAATAATGTGACATATAAATAAATAATATTAATTATGAACCTAAAATATGAGATGGATTATAGATGGTTTATATGAATATATATTAGATAAGCCAAGGAGATAAAGAATAAATCATTAAAACCCATAAATCAAATTATTAAGCAATTCAAACCTATTTTTATAAATATGGGGCTCAATCTAGTCATAACAAAAAATTACTGTAATCACAAAGTCATGGATGTTTAAAATAAAAAGTGGAGCTAAGTAGAAAAGTTTTTGTGTTTTGAGTTAATACTTACTTCATCATTCAGAAAGGTTGAAAGTTTCAATGCAACAAGAATGCTAATACGACCACCAAATATGATTTATCAAAGGTATTTTTACGTATCTCATTTTCATAAGGTTAATAATAAATAATTTAATACACAACAAACAAGTAATTTTCAAATTAAAAATATAAAACATCACAACAGATGGTTCATCAGACATATTTTAAGGAAAAAAAGGAGAGTAGAAAATTGATAAGGTTTCTGATTATGGAAAAAGTATATCTCAACCAGCTGTGTCAGTTTTCTTTTCTAAAAGAGCTTCTCTCAAATGATCAGAACTTTATATAACCACACAGGTTTTTAAAGGGGATAGTCCAGTATATTACAATCGAATCCCGATAATTAGTATGGATTTGCTAGTCCCTTCAATTCTTCCTCTAATTGGTATAAAAACTATTCAACTTTGTTCCTTTGATACTTATTTTTGTCTTCATAGTTTCTCAAAGATCTTTTATTTTGAAAAAAAAAAAAAAAGTATATGGTTGGGTTGTTGGTTCAGGTCTTAACCATATTAAGAGAAGAAGAGAGTAAGGGTAAGGTTACTGTTTCAAGGAATTAAAGTTTTTTTAACCTTTTGTTTTCCATTTCCAGCACTTTCTTTTTATCAAATATAATGGTATGTTTCAGTTTGATTTTGAAAATTTCTCTTAAGGTCTAAACAATCTCTTCCCATCAAAGACAAGATATCATTAGAGCCATGGCTGGTGGAGAAAAGCAAATTCTTGTGTCGAAACGTTTTAATGTTTCTCTATCGACAATAACATACATTATAAGAAACTAAGACGAAGTCACATCTAAGGCTATGAGCAGTTAATTAAAGTGCTTCAAGATGGTCAAGTACACAGAACTGGAAGATTATTTAAAACTATGATTAAAACAAGCATATAATTCTAACTAGCCAATTGAAGGTAACATTTTAAAAGAAAAAGCCAAAGTTTCTGCAGAAAAATGAGGATCAGGTAAAGAGATTTAAGCCAAGTTATGGTTGGTTTGATTGATTCAAAAAAAGAAATTTTAGCTCCGTCTGAGGACATTGATGGGTAAGATAAAGAAGAACATGATATGCCATAGATTATTCCAGTATCTTAATAACTCATATTTTACTCTCGGTCCCTTGACAATATGAATTATCAGGATTCTATTATATTTGAAAAAAATATCAAGAATACATTTAATCTATTGGAATTTAAGACATACTTTGCACTGAATAAATAAGAATACAAAGAAACACAAGGTACTCAATTATTGAAAGTATATTTACATGTTGTAAACCAATTGACATTGGAATGCACTGCCATGAGAACACACTTGCCTCCTACTCTCATGTGTAAACACATGAAGGCAGTCAGCTTACTCATACTAATGGCCTAGTTCGCCATCCAATGTTTTGCTACTTCAACCCATAAAAAATATGAGGAGTAAATAAGAAGTACAAGTGGAGTGACACTGAAATGTTAAAATTCAAAGAAGCATATGAAATAAATTCATTTCTATGGAATTTCAAACATCGACAAAATAAAAGTAAATTGATGATGCAATTAAACACCTTTAATTGGCATTGATCCTCTCGTCTTATGTCTACAAGTCAACTTTCATTGATCAAATGCACCTATAATTTATGAGATAAAAGTAATGTGATCATCCTGAAATAATCTATACCGAATCAAGTGAAATAGTCAATAATAATAATATATTCTATTAATAATAATTTAAGTGAAATACTCATTTATTATGAACATTATGATTTCTAACTTTACTACTAGATTAGTTTCATAGATTATAATAATAATAAATCTTAAAATCATATGAAAAAATTTTAAACTTACTGAAATCAGAAACAGCTATTGAGAATTGTGAACCACAATATACTGCTTTAATTCCTTTTCCCTGGGTTTCAAAAAACTTTACAAGCCTTGGAATGAGTTCATCTTTAGGTTCTGCATGTCCAAGACGACCATAACCTCCAAAACCCCATGAAAACAATCTACGCTTTGAGTCTAAGGCTACCTTTAAGTATTAAAAACATATTAAATTGAAAAACATCCTATTGGTATTCTAAATGGTAATAAGCAGAATATTTAAAGTCAGTAAGAAAGATGATATAAAAGTTACCTTATAAATATAAACACTAATTAATAAATCCATAATTAATTTGGTTTGTATACTGACATATGAAAGACGTGAACAATGGGTCATCAGAAATATTACCTTATGCTTTATTATAATGACATATTAGTAAGATAATAAAACCAAATACCATTCAATATGAAATGGAAAGTTAATAATAGTTAATTTTGGAACCTAATTAGCTCATCCATAATGAAATCACTTATCAACTTAAATTACTAAGAAAATAAAAATTAACAAACCGTATGATTAGTACCACAAGCGACATCTATTATATCATTCACTTCCACAGGTGTAATGTGATCTTTAGATTTTTCTATATAGGTTGTTATCTGCTTTGGTGCTTTAACAGCAGCGCGCACCAGTTTTGTTGAATTCATAAAATATTCACCATTAGTATTATGACCTAGTGAAAAATAAGAAACGACAAAGAAGTTTAACAAATAACAGCTAAGAGATATTGCATAACAATAAACTGAAAAGTTGTCATACCAAGTTGACCATACTCAGGATCACCAAAGGAGTGAAGATTGCCTTTCAAATCTAAAATAATACTGAAATCTCCACCACAGACAACTTTCACTATAGGTGGCCCACGATACCTAATCTATGGAAGAAAAAGTTAAAATATTATATATTTAAACTATTATAATAAAAAATGTATAAAATTATACATTATACTTATATGCATGCTTAAGTATAACCAATTTAAATATTTAACAATTGGAAATCAAGGATCTTGGATTCAGTAATACATAAGGAGTACTCTTGCTTAGTCAAAAGTTTGGAAGGGAGTGATTTGACTGAGATCAAAATGATGTAATAACTGATATATATAACTTTAGGCCATGAAAAAAAATCCAGGCATTTTTCTCTTTTGGAAATTCCAAAATAATTATAGCTCTTGAAGGTTAATTATTTTTAAAATTTAGCCATTTTGAAACTTTAAATATGGACTTTCAATAAATTTTAAAACAGTGACAACATTGTTTTCCTCCATTAACTTGAACATTACAGTAAACAGGCATTCATATTCCTCATCTGTTTTTTTATCAGATCTCTCATAATTAAGTATGTACTTATATTCATATATTTTTCGATTGGAATAGGCCTTATGGCCAAAATTATTCTTTATTTGCCTGTAAATCAACTTTTCCTGGAAAAGTTTGCTTTTCTATAAACATTAGCATCTCTTAGTAGTTTACTTATTGTTTGTTCAACTTGTATTTTTTTTAATTCTGATTATTTTTGGTCAACCACATTTATAATTTTTAAAAACTTTTTTTTTTAAGAAGACAATTAAAAGTAATTATTGAGATGTCATTGAAAATTAAAGAAAACTAAGCAAAGATGATAAATCTTAATAACCAAATTGATCAAATCTATCAATTTTGGATTGAAAAACTAACACACTCATCCACCAAAGTGAAACCCAGAAAGAATTTGAAATATTTCCCTTGATGGCAGATAGAGGAATGGTCACTAAAAATATTTAGTAACAAATAACTGAATCAAAGTCAGAGATCAATAAGGAAGATAGAGAAACTCTAAGCAAAACAAAGCTAAAATCACAAAAGGCGTGTCTGCAGTAACAAAGAGAGTAGTAACAGAGATGTCTTTCAACTTTAGTTATCACAGCTGCAAATAAAACTGTAGGATAATATATTTCTTTTTTATCCAACTAACTGGGAATGTCAGGAACTCTAAAAATGTCTTTTGTTGTAAAAATATTGTATTATACTACAAAGTGCCTTGTCTCGAAAATGTATCTAAACGTACATAAAGAATATATCGACAGCCACACTACAAAAGATATAAGGACAGCTTCTTTGGAAAATGAGGTTTTGAGCTTTTCTGGTCAATCTTCTCCTGGCGCAAATTTTGAACCCACAAAATGAAATATACGATGTTTTATTTCTTCTCTAAGGTATTTTATAAAAACATGTAACCTATAAACTAGAAGCAAATTGTAAGTTACAGTAAATGTAATGAAATGCTCAATGAAAAGTGGTCATATAAATATAGAATGTATATAGCGTTTTCCACAAAGACTACAGTATCAATTAGCATTATTAATAGCCTAAAATTAATTTTCCTCATAAGCTTTGTATTCATTTTTTAAATTTCTAATAAGTGGCAGGCACTTCGAGCCCGGTGCATCTGAGAAAATGACTGGATTATCCTGCCTTGAGGCCGGCACTGTTTACCATAGAACTAGACGAAGCAAAGAAGAGAGTGAGTGGTAAGAGGGAATATAACATTGAATGATCTTCAAACCAAGAGAAACCTTCTGAAAACTGCTAAATGAGCTTAACTGGAAAAAAGCTCCAGAAAGTGAGAGCCAAAGAATTGATTTCAATAATTGGAAAATTTAACAGAAGAAGAAAAAAGAACTCCAGTTTCATTTTTTGAAACCAAGAAGTTCAGAAACAAAATGATCTACACATGAGCAGGTTAGCTAGGTTAGACCTTACCAAGCATTCGTGAATCAAACCATGTCCATATGAAGTTGAGTACGTTGAAAACGAAACTTTCATTGACTACTCCAAAATGGAGCACATAAACTCCGTTTGACTCGCCCCTACAGTGGGAGACAAAAAAGTGAATAACCTGTGTAATCAAATGCTCTCTTTCCAGTCAAATGTTTTACAAATTTTCATTTGAAGTATTGTTTCTCTACGTTTGGAAATATCATGCTTTGATCATTGTTAACAAAGTTATGGGCATTATTACAATAAACTTGGTTGTTTTTACCTAACTAATACCTGTTTTTCAAAGTAACTAAAATGATAAGAGTTAGAAGTAATGGCTCTAAAATATTATTTAGCAGAAATACGATCAAAAAAGTTATACAGCATTACATCTTTATCTTAGGCCTGAAAAAAAAAAAAAATTAGCCGAAAATATTATGCTCATGGAACAAAAATTATGCAATTTTTTTGTTCTAACAGCTTTTGCAGCCTGGCTGTCGATATCTTTCACTGTCTAGGAGTGCTAGACTATACTATATACTTGGTTGGTCTGTTTTAGCAGTGTGAGATAGGCAGCATATACCTTACATTTATATAATCTTTTTCTTTCTTGAAGACGTCTGAATTGGCAAAATATTGGCTGGCAAGTGATTTACTGGTGTTTGAGGTATTTGAGGCTTTGTTTTCAAACATATATTAATTGATATCGTTATTTGACATAGTCTTAATTATGATTATACGATATTATACCATCTTGTTATTATTTTCAACCATAATATAATATACTAATGCAAAACAATGTCAGTGAATTCAAAACAATATTATATTTAAAAACATTGTTGCTTAATTATGATCACTGACTAGTTTTTAACATGTGATAGTATACTCTAAATTGTATTTTACATTATTTATTGTCTTATTTATTTATTTAGGGAAAGCACTGTTTCTAGGTCAAACCGTTGTGCAAGGAGGTGATGTGACCGCGATCACGCACAATCGCCAGGTTTTCCCCCTTACTCAATTATTTAATTAAGGGTACCCACTTTATAGAGGCTGGGTGTTCCCCAGGAGGGTCTCCCGACCCAGGGTCGCCCCACGGCCAATGAAACACAGATAAATAAATTTTCTGCCATGAGCCGGGGTTCGAACCTGGGACCTTTAGCATTGGAAACTCAGTACCCTACCACTGAGCTACCCCACGCCCGAAGTAGCCGAAAAGTAATGAAAATAAAATACATGATAAAAGATTTTTTTTAGCCTTAAGAATTTATAATAATGTCCCTTCACCTTAACTATAAATAAACCACATTTATTTAATTATAAGTATAAATCAAAACTCATAAACAAATTATTCTACATTACACAACCAGTAATATATGGAGAAATAAAATAACTTTTACAAAAATCAATTTTTGCAATAGAACATTAACAAATCACATAACTGACAGAGGGAGGGAAGAATTAGAACTAACAAATCTCGAAAGATAGAAGAATATTTATAAATCAAAACATGTTTACTTACTCGAGTAGGAGTCATTACATTAGGTGCAGTCGTCCCAACTCCACACTGGCCCATTTTGTTGTCCCCCATAGCATAGACAATTCCTCGATCTGTCACCAGTCAAATATACACCACTTTATCACTGCGACGTCTTGGCGTACGGTAACAAACCGACACCATTAACATAAACTATCTACTTATACTACTAAATAACTAAATGAATTTTAAAAAAACAAAAAAACTAAGGGCTGACTCTGCACCAGAAAATAATTCAGTGCTGCCTAACTAACGCTATGAATAAAATCAGAAAAGAAACAAAATGCTAGTAAGAAATAATTAGCTAAAAACATCCCACAATATTTTAATACTTGAAGTAATTTAATTTCATATTTTTTCTGATTTAATTGAACAAAATAAAATGTTTCATTAAATTATGATAATAAATAAAATATAAAACGAAGTTTGAACTTTTAGAGGATTTTTTTTATAAATAGTCTTTAAGTAAAAGTAGAATAATAAAAAACAACAAAACCAACATTCTATAGAATTTTAAAGAACCAACCTGAAAGTAACAAAGTGTGATTTCTTCCACATGATGCATTTACAATGTTAATCTCTTTTAGTGATTCAAGCAAATATGGTTGAGTTCCAGTTTCAAGATCGCCTGTGCCCAACTGCCCTTTTTCATTTCTCCCTAAGGACAGTAAAAAAAAATGTTTTAAATACATAAAACAAATTAATGATTCATTTTTACTAATCAATAACACATAAAAGTATCGAAATACACACCTATTTACAATAGCCTGAATATAATATAGAGAACTTAAAGAAAAATTCCTTTCACTAAGAGGAAAAATTCATAGAAACAAAGTTTTACAGCATCAAATTTTCGTCCACTCAGTGCTGACATTTTTATTGTAGGCTAATTATATATCTCAAATCTTATATTATATATTTTTATAATTATATATCTTTCGACACATTGTTTATCAAAATCCTTTGCTGTTGAGAGGTGGAAAAGAGGCTTATACTGCATGTAAAAGAACTTAAACAAAAATAATTCTGTTGAATAGACACCCATACTGTTGATGAAATATTGAAAATCACGTTTACCTTCAGTACCAATTACTAACCATCGGGAGATAACCGATTTTGTTCAGAGTAAATGACCTACATTAAATTAGTTAGTATTCACTGGACACAAAATTTGATGCTCTACAACTTTGATTCTATGAGTTTTTCCACTTAAGGAACTCATTTCCAAGTTGCAGGGGCATTTATAATAATTTGTCTCAATTTTCGATAAATTTGGTAAAAATTATCATTGATTGACCGCGGTTTTATACCTTACCGCGTTACTAAATATTCCTCAAATTACTGGCCTGATTTTCTTTAAATCAGCCGCCATTTTTTTAAAACAGCGGCTCTAGAACGGTAGACAAGGTTCTTTTTACTCAGAATAACTTACACTTCCGTAATTTACATTCAAACATTCGCCTGCCATCAGGATGATTTTTGTGGCCTACCTCTAGGGCTATATGCTCTCCAAAACTAACCTGTAATAGTGAACACCATTGCAGCTGGTAACTGCATTACGTAGGTGTTGCTGTTCCATGAATTTATATAAAAAATCTAATGCATAATTCATTGGAAGTATAATCAGGTTTCTTTTAAAATAGTCATTTAATGATACAGCATTTTAATAATATTTTCCAGTCTAGCTTAATCATTATTTTTTCTTATATTTATTTTATTTTTATCAAGAACAAAAAATAAATTAGAAAGGTGATAACTTATAGCACTGAATGAATCTAATCACTTTTAGAGAATTTTAAGAGAAAATTGAAAAAGGACAACGCAAATGACAAGACAAGTGCATCAAAATATTTCATATTAAACACAAGTGAGGGGGTTAGAATGATAGTAGTGATAGTGAAGTCAGCTTTATATAATTTAGAAAGTGAATGCTTATTGCAGCTAAATAATGTAAATGGAAGTACAATTATAATTATTATAAATATAAAATTGTGATATGTTTAGGCTGAGTTCTACAAAACTGGAGGAGGACCCTCTGGACCAAACAAATTGATGGATATAAAGCAAAATTATTGGATCTTCTTAAGCTTCAGTTGGAGCCAACTCCTTCTGAATATGATTCTTCAGCAAAGTATTTATCCACAAGTAATGCCATAACTGTATTTTGATACGGAATTCAATTTTAGTTTTTTAAATAAATAATAAAATCAGGATTTGTTTTACTATTGACATTCTCTATTATATTTTACAACTTTATTTGCAGAGTAGCTTTCGGTTTCCGGGCACCTCTATAATTATAACACTTCAATTAGGACAAATTAATAGTTAATTAATGACATTAACAATACATGTATTACACAATTTTTTAATTGCCATGCAATTATTATCACTTCATGCCATACATTTTAATTTAAAATGTTTATTCATTTAAACAAAAAATTTTAACCTAAAATCCTTTCAGAGAGTTGACGAAAGACGATGAACAAGAACTCTATTCTAATCCATTACGATTTTAAATAGAAAAAGGTATGGCATGAAGTAATAATAACAACATGACAATTAAAAAAATATTTAACACATGTATTGTTAATTTCATTAACTAACTATTAATTTATCCTAATTGAAGTATTATAATTATAGAGATGAATATGGTGCACAGATACTGAAAGCTACTCTGCAAATAAAGTTGTAAAATATAATAGAGACTGTCAATGGTATAAAAAATCCTGATTCTATTATTTATTTAAACAACTACAATTGAATTTCATATCAAAATACAGTTATGACATAACTTCATTACCATCTCTCTTTCCTGTAAGGCTATTGTGAGTTGTATTATTTGCAATACGTTGTTTAGTTACTGTTGGTAATTCATTTTGTTTATTTACAGCCTTATACCATAATTTTGTTATTAATTTATGAGGGTAGAAACTTTTTTTTTAGTATATTAAATATTTGTTGCTTAATTTCTTCCATAAATATATTGTCTGTAATTTTAATTGCTTCATTAATCAAATTGCTACCTACATTAATGATTTGCGTTTTAGGGTGATTAGAATAAAAATTGAGAATATTTTCTGATGTGATTGATTTTCTATACCATTTAGAATATAATATATATGCTAACTCTTCTACACATTAAATGGAACCTTATGTCACGGTCTTCTTCATCTTTCTCGGCACATATTGAAAATGACTGGTCTAGTTAGTTAGTTGCACCTTTTTTTCAAAATTGTTCAGTTTTTCAGAGCTATTGAATTTTTTTAAAGGAATCTACCCTCCAACCGGTTAAATGTTCTATTCGTTTTTAAATTTTGAAAAGAAAGTTGATGAAATGATAAAATCTCACAATTTATTGAAGAGATGCTTTATACATTCAGAAATCGTTTTTTCCAACTTTTCATCCAAGGTTTTTTTATTCAATGACTTGATTATATCATATAATTTTCTTCTTGATCAATTGAAATTTAATTACTTACAATATGAGATACTATCCATATTAGTTTGATTAAAAAAACACACAAACTCAATGCTAGGGAAACACCCTTAAAGATAGTCAACTTTGGAGCGATCTGGTATAGTCCCATAACATGTAAAAATTCATAATTTATCAAAATGGAACATTCAATTTTTGGATTGATGTCAGGTTTTAAAGTGTTCTGCCCCATCGTACTTACTCTTTTTTTTCTTTATTTATTTATTGGATAATCCCCTACCCACCATTTTGGCCATACAAGGGATTTGTACCTCTACAAACAACCCTATTCTAACAAGAGTAGGAGGGTAGAGTTTCATTCCTAGGATCCGCCAAGAAATAAAAGTCAACCCCTCCCAGACCGGATTCGAACTGCCGTCTCTAGGCACGAGAATGCTAGAACAGGCAACGCTCCAACACACATGGCCATCACGACCTTAACCACTGTTCTTGCTCTGTGTCCCTAGAGTGCATTTGAATATAACAGTATAGCTCTGATATGAAGCCAATAGATTATACATGATTTTAGCTCCACAACGTTTTTCCTTTGCTCTTTTACAGGCATTTGAGAATTTTTTTAGTTTTGTTTGTCACATGACTTTTCCATTTATGATTGTGATCTACAGTACTGCCTAGGCGTTTTGCTTTCTTGCTAGTGTTTAACTGGACCCCATTTATTTTAGGTTAGATTCAATTTTTATCTTTTGCTTCATAGTGAAAATACTTACATTTAAAATATACGATAGCAATTTAATTGTTTTAAATTCATGTAAAGAGTTCTATTGAAAATTTAAAAGTTCAACTTTTTTTAAAAGAAAGAAAAATTAATAACACTACTTTCATAAAACTCACCAAGTGTGTATACTTTATAATCTTCTGTTATAATAATGCTATGAGCAGCATTACATCCTGAAGCCACTGCACGAACTCTGATGTCATCTAAAGGTGCAAAACGATGTGGAACATAAATATTTTTTGCAGCAGTGTTTTTACATCCCTTTGGAGCTGATTTTCTATTGTACAAATCCCAATTGGTAGCTCCACATATTAGCAACCGTCCAATATGATCAGGCCCTTTAACTCTCTAAAAAGTAATAGTAAAGATTTAGACATATTGTATTTAGCAATATTTTTTTTTTACAACAGAAAAAATGGTAAATCATTAGTAGCATTTCATTGTTTCAACAAATAAACAAGGAGAAACTTAAAATTTTTAAATAGTATATAATCATGCCAAACACCGTGCAGACCATTCACTATGTTTTTGACGCATATCACTGCCTTGGCCTCCCTTTTAAGTTTAATTTTTAACTAATACTACAAAATTTGACAGAAGAAAAATTGAGCTTGATTAGCAGACGAACAATCAGGTTAACAATATACTTTTCATGTTATAATATTATGTTCGATAAAAATATTAGCATTTTTAATATTACTTTTCCTCATGATCATTTTATCTTAATAATTTCACCCTCAATTTCATCACTGAAGACATAGTCATCTCATCTTACTTTCAGACTGTGGCTAAAATTATTTATGAGAAAAAATGATTTTAAGAAAAACTATTATTAAAAAAATGATCAAAAACAAAACAAATAAATTTGTGATAAAAAGAAAATATGAAAACAAATAAATTTTAAATAATTGATATAACAATTACTGCCATAGAATAATAAATTCCCTACTTCACAAAAATTTTCATGAATACATAAATCATTTATTCCTCTCTAATATATAAACAAGTTTTAGTGACTGTATAACTCTCTGTATAACTTAAAAGACAAGGAAGGAGAGGAAAAAAAAAAGTGAAAGTAATACGAAGTTGTAATGTTGCAGGCCTACATATATAGTATAATTTATAGCAGTGTATATATATATATATAAGAAGTAAGTGAAAGTAATTCAGTTTAGAAAGTAGTAGAAATAAGTGAATATTACTTTATAAAATAATTACAATTTTAAGGCCTTGTGGTGGGAAACCTTTTATAAATTAATTAATAATTAATGTTCTGCCCTCTCTATGTAGTCTAAAAGGCGAGGAAGGAAAACAAATAAAATAAAAAGTGAAAGTAATATGATGTCGTGATGTTAACCAGTTGGAATACGGCCAGGGCAGTTGAAACCATTAACAAAAATTGGTGTCCCAGGAAAGTGAGTGGTCTGTCTATGTAAACCTGTCACTAATTATAAGCTTAAACTTGCACTTCATAAATCTTTTGAAGAAAAAACAGAAAATTATGAAAAATATGGTGCACACATCACACGACTTCCACTTACAACCCTTTTCTTAGCAGAAATAAGTATTTCCAGAGAAAGGAGAAGTGAAAGTAAAAATTATAGATACTTATTGACATTTCATTGTGGGTATTTTTATTTGTTTAAATATCCTCATATAGACAAATTTTAATTTTTACGTTTATTAGAATACGCTGTATTTCATACAAATAAATATTAAATAATACCAATGATAGCATTTATGAAAACCACATAAGTGTATGAACATAATATTGTCAAAGTCCGTTCTATATTAGGTATAGAAGCCTGTTGTACTCTTTCAGGCAAACTCGGACGCGCTCGTATTCCTTTGGTTCTTCCACTACAATCATTATCAATTACATATTTTATATGTCCTTTAGTTAATCGTCAAATTTTTTGTATTAAAGATTAATGTGAAATATGGTTAATTATTTCAAATAACAAAAAAAAAAATAAAGGTAATTTAGAGGAAGCTAATATTGAAAATTAGCCATTTAAGCCCTATTAGAGAACAAAACTTACATTATATTAAAAACTTCTTAATAATACACTGATATACTGAGTTTAATTAAAATCGTTAGGGAGCAGAGTAGCTCAGTGGATGAGCACTGACTTGAGCGTGATATCGGCCCCAACACCTCCCTGCACAACTGTTGGCCTTGAAACAGTACTTCCTCACATAGTACTGCACCCAAGACCCTTCATGGGTTGTAGTGGTACAGGAAAAAAAAAAAAAAAAATATATATATATATATATATATATATATATATCAAAATCGTTAAGTCGTTTTTGAGAAAATAGTAAAAATGTGTTAAATCGATTATATAAGTACCACTTCCGGTTTGCCAATTATGACAAAAATATTTCTGCTACATCCAAAGATTATAAAAACATCAAATAAGCAATTTCAGTTTAGTACGGCTTTTCATTTTTGAACTAGGCTGTTCACATACATACGTAAATTCAAAATTGAAAATCCTTTTAGAAATTCACTTTTGGGTTGCTGGTATATCAAACTGTACTGCGTACCAGTCTGCTTGTGGGGCTGGCACCTTTGTGGCAATAGACCTATACCCCCATCCAGGGCAGAATCCTAGGGAAAGTGACCTTAGGGTGTGTACTGTTAATGAAGTTTATCTATAGAGTGTAGGAATGAGTATAGTATGCTGTTTTAGTGTACGGTGTAATGTTTCCTCAACCTAGAAGAGCAGCCAATGAAATGGTGACATTTGGGGACTACTAATTTGAGCAAGTAGCTAAATTTATTTATGTAGGCTCTATGGTAACATAGGATAACATACGGTGTAATGTTTCCTCAACTTAGAGGAGCAGCCAATGAAATGGTGTCATTTGGGGACTACTAATTTGAGCAAGTAGCTAAATTTATTTATGTAGGCTCTATGGTAAAATAGGATAACATACGGTGTAACGTTTCCTCAACTTAGAGGAGCAGCCAATGAAATGGTGACATTTGGGGACTACTTATTTGAGCAAGTAGCTAAATTTATTTATGTAGGCTCTATGGTAACATAGGATAACATACGGTGTAATGTTTCCTCAACTTAGAGGAGCAGCCAATGAAATGGTGACATTTGGGGACTACTAATTTGAGCAAGTAGCTAAATTTATTTATGTAGGCTCTATGGTAACATAGGATAACAGTGCATAAACAGAAATTAGAAGGCTAGTCAGTGCTACTTTATAACAGCCTGAGAAAACAGCTGTTGGCCTTAGTTTCTCCTGCCAAACTTAGTTACATTTAAACAAAACTCTAATCCGTCCAGTGCTAATATACAGCTCAGCAGCTTAGACTGTGACCAAGCGTAATGAACAGATCCTCTTTGTGTTCGATTAGAAAATCGATCAGAGGATATTTGGAGGAGTGTTAGTGGAGGAGACCCACAAACCAGGAGGTTTGTGGTTCATTTAAAGATCCTAATGACGGACGTTCAAGTGGTTAAATGTGGAGGGCATGAGTGAAGAATTTCCCAGGAAGTTTGGATGGAGCCTCCCAATGGAACGAGAAGACAAGGAATTCCAAAGCATAGATGGGTGGACAAAGTTGCAGCTGATGCTTATAATATCTTTGCAGTGCTCAGAACCTTTTATTTTGACATATCTCAAAAATATATCTTTACAGTTTCGCAACTTTGCCATAAATCCAACAATATTACGAGACTATAATTAAATTTAATTACTTTTTATTTTCTACTCTTCTACTCCCTTATTACTACGCTTCTACTCCCTCAAGTCAGGCTTCTTGGACAAAGAGGAAGTCTTAAAGGCCACTAAGAAGATTGTCTTCAAGAGTACTTTCCTCCCTATATTAACATTTACTTCTCCAAGCGAGTCTTGGACCCTCACTTCCAAGCACAAAAGCCAAATCCAAGCTATGGAAATGCGATATTTAAGGAAAATAGAGGGAAAAACAAGAAGAGATCACGTTAGGAATGTGACCATACAAGCTAATCTGGACCTGAGGCCTGCAGAGGAAATAATCCAAGAAAACCAACTTAGGTGGTTAGGACACGTCTCGTGAATGGTGGAAAACACAATTGCCAGGGCTACCTACGAGGTCAAAGTGGAGGGAAGGAGGCCACAGGGAAGACCAAGAAAAAATGGGAAGGAGTTAAAGAAGCCTTTGACAGGAGAGGAATGGACTGGAGTAGGAGAAGACAGCTGGCCCTGGATAGAGATTCTTGGATCAAGCTCTATAAGAAGGAACCTCACACTGCTCAGCGGTAACAGAGGACTGGATTAAGTAAGTACTTTTCATTTTTAAATTCAATTTAACTTAGATTGATTAGTTAAAATCTTAGCCCTTTTGTGGCATAATAAAAAGAATTCAAACATTATTGTATTTTTTAAACTGTGATTTGTTGAAAATTTGGAAGAGAAATAGAATTAATTATAGATATAAAATTGAAGGAAGAAAGAAACAAGCTACATTTTGTAAAAATTAATAGTAATTTCAGTTCAAATCTGTACACTACCGCTCTATTATATAATAGCACCACTTTATTTTATCCAGTACGTATAAATATGGAATCACAAAATCAAGTCAGACCTTTCCACACATGTTAGAATAAGTCGGTTATGCTTATCCCAATTAGCTCCCCCTCCATCCTCAATATGCCAGAAATGGTCAGTTAGGTTTTAAAGGAAAAAAAAGTTATGATATATACTTAGATAACTTATTTCATCTATAAAACATAATATTATAATATTGGGCTCAAGACATTAAGTTATTATTAATAGACTTAAGAAAGAACAAAAGATAAAAAGAATTCATAAAACCTTGTTTATTCAATTAGTTTTGTTATACAAAACAGTATTGGTTTTTTAAATGATAAAACCAATTAAAAAATTTATGTAAACAAATTGTATTTATGTCTCTCATTAATATGACAATTGGCACCAAAAAAACAAAATAATGTAAAAAAATAAAAAGAACATTGTTTCCAAGTGAAGTAGTGTTTTAAATCTAATACATTCATCTAAAGAACCAACACTGACCAGAACTGATTAAATGGCATTCTAATTTATTATTTATCACTAACTTGAAATTAATATTTTTGGTTTTATATGCCTCCATTGTTTGAAAGCAGTAAGTAGTAGGGCAACAGTTCGTTCACCTCCAACTGGAATCACCTATATAACCTATTTCCCAAAAACACACGTGAATCATAATAGATTTAAATATACTCACCAAACCATCATCTGGTCCTAAATCATCTGAGAGATCGTCTTCATCTTGCAAGCTACGGTCAGATCCATCGTTAGATGCATCACTTTTATATTCCTCATCAAAATCACTTAAATCTTCATCTCTTCTTTTACCATTTTTCCTTATTTTCTTATTCTTCCTACCAGAAGAATCTGATGCACTAGGTTTTCTTTTGGAGGACATAATGTAGAAAGTAAAAATTCGTGATTAGTCGTTGATGACGAAATCTACCGGACGCAATAACACCTTTTTATTGATTGTAATTTACTTTTCCTAGTGTTATGATGCTTCTTTTTATAATAATGGCCCCTACCCCCCTCGGCTCAGATTTACCAAGCGCCCACCAGGAGGATATACTTTCTTTCATACTTTCTTTTCAATTCTTTAAATAATAATTTTCAGGTTTGTAAATATTTTACTCTATGTAGTTGACACCACTAATTTAATAAAAATATTCCAATCATATTCCGTTATCACCTTTCAGCTGGAAAACATATTTTGCCAACAAATATAATTTTTAAATTATAAAAATATTTAATTAGTAAAAAAAAATGATGAATTATAAAATATGGCAGAAAGATATCATAAAAGTTAATTTAAATAAAAAATATAACTTTCTTTTAATTATTTGTATATATTTGTATGTAGGTGTTCTTTTTTGCCGCCATCTTTCATTTACATTTGACCGTTAATACTTCAAACTGACACCTTAATCAGGAATCATAGAATAGAATTATTCGATTCATTTATTTAAGATTATTCTTTCGAGGTCTAGTTTACAGAATTTGAACTTCGTCACATTGTTTGCATTGCTAAGATATGGGAATCTTAATTAGTAAATTATCTCGTTTATCTGTTAATGACGAGAAAGTTGAAAATGTTAAACCAATTGATAATTACAGTTGTCCAGATGAACAAAATTTGAAAACTCCCAAAGAAAGGTTTATTGCTGATCAGATCTTAGATCCAAGAAGTGCTACTGTAGGTATAAGAAGAACACCTTTAGTGGTAAGATGATTATATATTTTTTAAAAATTAGTGAAATTTTTAAAATATAAGTTTGAGATTGTTTTTTCTAATTCAGTTAGTAAAAGCTGGTAGTGATACTCCTGTCAGGCCCAAACTGTATCTTGAAACAGATTTAGATGAAACGAACAAAAGTGACAACAGCAGCTGTGTTTCTGAGTTTGAAGATAGTAATTGCTCTGAACATTTATTAGATATTGAGGTAAGTATTTTAGGTTTTATTTTAGTTGGTACAGAGAATATTATGTTTCTTAGTTATGTTATGTTCTTAGGAAGGTCTTGAGGCATTTTCCAGTGATATTCCTGTTACTGACTTTGATGTTGAAGAAATAGAAGAAAAAAATAACCCGAGTTTTAAACTTGATATTGTAAATGTCACTTTGAAAGAAAAAAGCAAGAAAACTTATATTTATGAGGATGTAAATCCTACTCCGGAATCAACACCTGTAAAACCTAAGGTATAAATTAGTTATGTCTTCTGTATTTTTTTTTTATAATTATTAAATCCACCACATTCTGCGGGAGGTTAAGAATATGACCTGTCCTTTATTTGGTTTTTCTGTGTATATGTGTACACCCATGCATGTGTATGTATTATTCACAGACAAATATATTACAGACCAGGTACATACCATAGCAAATTCTTCCTTGCCAGTCTTGACCCTTTGACTGCGAGACATAATAAATTATTCGGTAATGATTTTGATGATGCCCGTAGACTTTTTGGGTGGGATAGAATGCTTATTCTGAATGATTGTTTAGATTTAGGTGACCGTTATGTTAGGCTATCTGATGTAAGCTTTAATTCCTACTACTTAAAAAGCTAGAAGATAATGATAGTAGCAGCACCAATTGACTTAAACGTAATTCTAGAGTATATATTAACATTCTTTAACTCTATCGAGTTAATTAAAGTAATAAAGTCTAAAAAAAAAGCCGCAATCATGGGATTTTCTAAATTATTAAAAAATGTAAGTAAATGTAAAAAGTAAGAAAAAACAAATGCCTTTAAGAAATAATAAAGTTAATATATCAGCCAAGAAAAAAAGTGTAGTAGAATAATAAATGCAGCATCTTTAAAGTGAATAAATTATTAAGTATATCAAAATTAATGGACTGTTTCTTTGTAAATAATTGTTCGATTTTTACTTCTTTTTTTTTTAATCATTCTCATAATCATTGGTACTATCAAGAAAAAAATTCATACTTTTGGAGTTATCTCAAATAAAGTTTCTTTTCCTTCATGACTTTTTTCCCCAGAAATTTCGGAGGGTATGACTATTTTTCGCATGTAAAGGAGGAGAATATCTTCAAAATGAGTGGTCAATCATTGGATTTGATGAAGTTATGGCGAACCGACAGAAAAACACCTTTTAGAAATAATATATAGGATTATTCCCTTATTATATCCCAAATAATATTTCCACTCCATTCCTTGTTTGAGATTTAGGCTCATTACTATTTTAACCATTTTGAGTGATACAATTTGTAAAATAATGCCTAGTAGTGAACTATACGTTTGCAGATAGCGAAATATATCAAACAAAATATAACATGACCCTTGTACTCTCTCTTTCTTATGCAAATTCAAGATAATTATAATAAGTAAGCTCAATACAATAATATTTCCTAAATGTTGCCTATATTCTTTAACTAGTTATTGGCTATTGTTTAGTAAGCCAATAATTTAACTATTGGGTTTTCAGACTTGATACCCTTGTAATTCATTGGGTTATTCTTATCCTCTGCTTTATGAACAGAGAATATAATGGATTATTAAAAGCTATTAGATATTTCTCCCATTTCAAAGACGTTATTAATAGAATTGTGTTGTTGTTGTTAAGTAAACATTGTTTTTTTTTTTATCTACAAAGAGTTATATATCTTAATTTGTAACATCTTATAACATCAATAAACTATTAATTATTTAATTTATATCATTTAACAAAGATATTACTGAATAACAATACTGAACAAATGCACGATCTGTCACCAGAAATGAAATAGCAACTGTCTGTTGAAAATTAAATGGAAATGAAATTAATATCTAGAAAATCATGATGATGGGAGAGTCGCGAGGTTTTCAAAACTATGTATGTAGAGGAAGTAGCAACACTCTTTTAAAAACTACCGAAAATTAACTTGATATGTACGACAATGAGAAGTTACGGGAATATCTAAAAGTAGGTAAAAGGGGAAGAGTAGTGGGGAGCAACAACTGATAAGAAGTTCCCCGCCACAAATGGCGGGTAATCTAACCTAACCATACACTATCAATCGGAATAAGCATGCTTTCCCCACCCTGAAAGTCTGCGGGCATCATCGAAATCATTACCAGTGATTCTTCCCGATGGCGGGTTCCAAAATCAAAAAGATGTTTGGAAAAACGGATATATTTTTTTCCTTAAATTTGTTTTAAATACTATTTTGAGTCGCTCTGAAAGATATAACCTTTCAAAAATGCATTTAAAACCTGTTTATTTAATCTTCAATAACTAGGTCACCACTAATATAATTAATTAAACTCAATGAACTCCAGAGTTCATTGAATCCAATTCCAAGAAGTCCAATGAATACACCAATCAAGCCACAAGGCGAACGGCTTTTCCCTACCGCTCTAAGTAGTGACTGCCGAGGTGGGAAGGCAGGTATCCCATCCGCATAGGTGACCCAACTCCTACTGGGAAGACAGGTGTCCCGTCCGGAAATTGTTTATAACGACCTTAAAGGGGTAAACTGCATCGTTATAAACGACCAGTCCCTATATCCATCCACATTTGACTATCAATAGCAGCACTGATCATATTGAAATCAGAGAAGGGTAATGAATAAAATTTAAGAAAACTATACTTAAAACAATTCTTTTTTTGGAAGATAAACATACCAGTACTATTTACTATTTGTAATATAAATTTCTATGAACATGTTTATTGTTTTTTTATAAAGCAATTTACTTTTAACGTTGATCCCATCTAAAGATAAACATTTTATGTCCATTAGAACATTTTTCGATCTTAAATTGTAGAATTCAGTGGAGCATCAACTTATTAAAAAATTATGTATCACCACGTTAAATATGTCAGAAATGTCATAATTGATGTTGTATGGATAATTATTTTTCTGTTTATAGTAATAAAGAAACTGAATTACTAATGAGAAACTTCATTAATATTAGAATCTCCCGTAGCTCACGTTATCCTATAATTGAGAAAAACAGAGCTTTATATGTGAAATACTAACTTTTGCTTCTTCTCAGTTTATGAAAATAAAGTGATACAAATAAATTATTAAAAGTATAGGTGATAATTATTCTGGACGCAGTCATTATAAAGTTTGGAATACCACTTGAATACCTTCAGTACTCGAACCACGCCCTGATGATGACCCACATGTTTAGGTTGAAAGGTCGGCACTAATAAAAACTTTGTAATGACTGCTGTACTGAATAATGATCATCCATGATATGTAGAACAGTCGACTAACTTCTTTCAATGATTTATTAAAAGTATAGTTTTCTAAAGTAAAAAATCTGGTGCACATATTTGCATATATTATATATTACACTAAAACAATTGTTACCATCTATTTACTTCAGTTTAGGTAGGATCTTGTTACTTAGCTTACTCTGTTTATATTTTAATGTACTTACTGTTTATAATTTTAATTAGCTTATTCACATTGTTTATAATTTGTTGTCTAAATATTATGTAACATCCACAATTCTCAACTTTTTGTATCTTGTCCGTTCTAGCTCTGAAGAAGACCTGCAAAGTCGAGTCGAAGCGTGCGCTTCTAATAAAATAGTTTTGCCACTATTTAGCCCACTATTAAATATTTAATTAGTTACTAAACTGTTATTTTCAATTGCAAAGTTTACCAAAACGGAATTAAGAGATTTGAATTGTCGGTCATAGACAGGTCAAAAGTTGTGACACTAATTATAAGTGGATACTGTTGGAATATCGCAAAGGGAAAATTCATCAAATTATTCACTAATTTAATTTTCTAAAAGGTTTACATGGTGATTTTGTAGAATAAATGGACAATAGATATCTAATTAATTAAATATAATATCAGTACTCTTAAGTACCTTTAATTTGGTTAATTAGAAATAATAACTATTTCTCATTGTTAAGAGTTATGAAAAAATACTAAATGTAACTTTTGAAAGAATTTGATAATTGAATAAAGGATAAAAAAAGAAAAATACTTATCCAGGTCGAAAATGAATATATGGAAATAATAGTCAGAAGTTTGGAAAGCGGAGAATTAAAAAAACAAAAACAATA